ATTATCCTACGGTAGTTCTACGAAGTTATCTTTATTTCTAGAGCGTTAAGTCGGTCGTAGAAGGCCTATATATTAGTTTCTTAACTAATACTTAAGTAACCGTAAGAAGGTCTAGGCTACGAGAAAGGCGGTAGCTAAGGTATCTAGAGGCTAGGAGTCGTTAATCGTTAAACTATTTATATTATAGGCTTCTCGGGTTTTTCGAAAGTTATCGTTTTTTATTATCGTCGTTTTTCGGCTTAGGCCTTATCGGTAATTTATATTACTATACGACGTTTCGCTTACTTATAAAGCTAGGTATAAAAAGTCCGGTAATCGATATTTCCGATCTTATTATAGTTATAGTTTTCCGTTTTATAGAACTTTATAATTAGGGATATCCGGAGTTTATCGGTTAGGTATCTTACTTTTTAGGGAAGCTTTTCGTTATCGTTTACGAGCTTGGAAAAACGTTTATAGTTTATAAGATACGTAAAAATCGCCTTAGGATCGTTAATTACGTTACCTCGTTCTAGCTATACGAGTTTACGTTTAACGTTAGCTTAGCTTAGTTTATCGGTAATCCTAAAGCGGTACTTTAGGGCTATAACGATAACTCTTTAGATCGTTTAATCCTTCGTAACGTCGTTAATACGCTCCTTAATAGTTTTAATCGTAGTTTATTCGCCGATTTCCTTAATTTTATCGTCGTCGCTTATACGATAGCGGTTAAATAATCGATCTATCCTCTTTAATTATTAGGTTACGTTATATTTATTAAACTTAAGCCTAGGGTAATTAATAGGATTAAGGAATCTAATAATTAGTATTACGATAATCGAGGTAGCTACCGGTATATTTTAGTTACTAGAAGCCTTGTTATTATTATTTTAAGATAATGCCATAGGGATTAGCGGGATAAGTATAGAGCCGCGGTTAAGGGGTAGTTAAGTAGGAGTTTTATCGTCGTCCTTCTCTTTTTCGGGCGGATATAAAGGCGGAAAGTTAATATCGACTTTTAAGGTCTTTATTAGTAGTTTAGTTTTTATTGCTTCGGGTCTTAACGGCGATTTATTCCGTTTCTTAGCTACGGATTCCGTTTAGTTTATCGGTACGAGGTATAAAGTAGAAAGAGAGGTAGTAAGGGTTTTATTATCTAACATAAGGGTAAAGATATAATAGCTATTATTTATATCCTAATACTTTTCCTTTAGTATGGGTATGTTATTATTTATTATACTATCCCGATCGATAGGGTCCGGATATTATACGAGCTTTTCTAATCGACTAACGCCTAATTAAAATACGATACGTATTTCCTAGACTAATAATTTAACTATTATAAATAAGTCGACGATAATTCCTCTTATTAAGGTCTAGAACTCCTAACGTATAACCTTCGTTAAGGTAATACGTATAAGGGATAAATCCCGAATAAAGAATCGCGCTAGATACGATACCGGTTATAACCATAGGCTAGTCTCGATCTAACGGGAGCTATTTAATAGTATTAGCGGTATTACCGTTAAGCGCCGTTTTACGCCTATATTAATACTTCTCGCTATATTAATTATTAGTTAATAATATAAGACTAGCTTATATATAGGTATACCTATTAATTCGACTCTAATTCCGTTTCCCTAATCCTTTATATCTACGTAGTTTTATTAATATTAATTCCTAGTTCTCTTTAAAACTATCGGTTATTAGTAGTTATTAGTTTATTAATTCCTATCTATATTATTAATATAAATATTTATATTATATCGTATATTATATCGTCGAATCGCTACGCTTAGGTATCCTAAAATACCTCTAGTATAATAAGTTATTAATATTTATATATTTAATTTATATCGATTAATAGGTTTAAAGGAAAAAAGAAGCTATCGTAAGGTCGGTTAGGATATAATTATTATTAGTCTTTATCCGCCCTTAGTATTAATAAGGAAGTATCGGGTCGTATAGGTTATCGTAATTTATACTAAGGCGTTCGTACGTTTAATTTATATAATAAATAAATAATTATAAAGGGGCTGCCTTAATCGCTATAAGCTTTATTTATTCGTACGAGATATATTATATTATTAGCGGTTCGAGGAAGCGGTTAATATCGAGGGCTAAGTATTATTCCTAGTAGCGGTAGTATTACGACGAAAGTTCTCCTAGGTTTTACGGGTTTTTCCGTATAGTAGATAAATAACTATACGAGGGATATCTTAATCGGTATAAACGCGGTTTAATCGTCGTATTATATCATAATATCGATAGCTTATTAACGTTATAAGTATTAAGGATTAGGTACTATCCTAATAATAATAATATCGTTATAAAAGTTCCCGGGCTTATACGTATCTTCCTATAGTAAATAAATAACCATAAAATAAGATACTTTATTTAACGTAAAACGCGGGTTACTTCGCGGGTTAGATAGCGGCGCCGACGGCGATCGGTATTCTTTAAATCCTAATAGCGTAATAGAAACTCCGTAGACTAAAGGTTAAAGGGTCGAAAAAGTTATAAGGTAGTCGCTACTAAGGAGGAGTAAAGCGTACGCGATACTAAAGACCCGGATAGGTTTACTCGAAAGTATACTCTATCGAAGACTATAGTACGTACGATAATCTAAGATAGATAAAACTAATATCGCTATACTAATCGAAAGATAAGGAATTTAATATAGTTATCGTATCTTAGCTATACCCCTTAGTCGTAAAGATATAGTAGTCGCTAGCCCGAAGATATAAGAGGTAAGGGAAAAAAAGAGGTAAAACGTAAAAGTTACTTATTCGGCCATAGCGATACGACGAAGTAACTTAAGCGCCTATAACTAAGATAGATATACTAATCGGTAAACGACGAATCTAATAATAGAAACGAATCTTTAATTAAGGTAAAAATAATAAAGATAATAATCTAGCTATATAATGAATTAAATAATAGGCATAGTATCTCCCGTACTTACGGGAGCTATAGTTATTCTATATAGGCATAAGGCCTATCGTAGCGTATTACGTAATGCATTAAGAGGGCATGTCTTACCGCACCACTATAATAAGCGTTCTAATAATATTATTATATATTATTTCTTCCGAAATATAGCTTATAAATAACTCTTAAGGCTTTATTTACGATATAAATTAAACGTAAGACGTTAATTCTAAACGTAAGTCGTTAATAATAATTATAGTAACTTTCGACGATTACGAATAGGCCCGGGTTTAAAAATACTTAAGGAAATAAGCTACGCGATTTTCGAGGGAAAAAGGCAATATTAATATTACGCGACCGTTAAGAATTCCATTATAAAGTCGTTTTTTATATACGAAAATAATTCCCTTTGATTATTTTATACCTAAAATAATTCGGGCTTATTTTTAACGTTAACGTTAAAAACAATAACCTATCCAGGGGAAAAATAAATAAGATGTTCAATTTATTTAATAACGATTTTTAGAGCTACGAACCTTATTTATTATAGAAAACCTAGAAAACGTAAGAAATTATACATAGAAAATTTATAATTTATATGAAACTATTTATTATAAGTTCGAAACTAATTTAAATTTTTACGTTAACGTATATTATATCGAATAAAGCGTATATTATTTACGATAAAAAACGTATATAGTAAACCGAATTTAAGAAGAATGAAATTTAAAAGAAATCTAGTATAGGAAAAAATTTTAAAGTATAAGTACGTAATTTTTATATTAAAAAAGCCGCTTTATTTAATAAAACTACGAAATCTTTAAATTTATATCTTTATTATTTCTTTCTACGTTTCTTTTTTACTTTTTTCTACGCATCTGTATTTTTTTTTTCCTAATATACGTAGGATTTCTTATTATAATTCGTCGTTAGAAAAAGCGTTAATATTTAATTTTTATTATTTTATAACCCGCTCTTTCGTTTTCCAGATTACCTTTTTAAATTTCTATAAACTTTATTAGAAACTTATTTTAAATTCAAATTTCTACGTTAACGTACTTTATTACGTATTAACGTATCTTTTTATTAATAAGACCCCTGGGGTCAGCTATGGTTCTTCGAAACAAGAACTAGAGAAATTTATGTCTGCAAGAACGCTGGAGAATGACCAAGAACAACATGCGCTTATGCCGCTGGCTCATTTCTGTATGAATGATCTTCCGGCAAATGCCCGCGCTCCAGAGCTAGATGACAGAAATGCAGCATCAGTGCTGAAGGCGGATGGAGATAGATGGACGGGGACAGATGAGAGCTCCGGTTCCGGGGTTACGAGGGAAGACATGGGAAGGTATCTGGGATATCTTGCTAGCATCAAGTTTATTAGCCAGCCAACTGGGAGAGGGAGACAGTTACCGAGATTAGGGCGGACATAATATAGGCACAGGCTGAAGGGGGTGTAGGGGGGGTGGGCCATAGCTCGGTCTATTCGATGACCGAGTCACGATTATGCTGACTGTTCGATGATCCCATCCCTCTTCCGGCGTGAGGATACTCGTAATTATATGTCATTGAGTATTTTGCGCGGATACACTGGTCACTAACAAGAATTAAGAAAGCATTTAATAACTACCGCCTTCAGAAGATCAAGTATTAGTCTATCGATCTAAGACAGCCATCCTCTACACGGTCAACTTCGGAATTTATGTCGGGATACCTATTCTATATGGCATCGTCGCGGTGAAATGTGAGTAGTTGTGATAAAAAATGCTTTAGTCGATCACGTTGTCGTTACGCCATCTGTGTACGTACCAACGTTGATTTCGCAATAGCTGCAGTGGCAACGGCCAGGCCGGATAGATGTCTGATATTGTGTTTTAATGGAAGAAGACATTCGATCCTAGCGTACTGAACGCCCGCCCCGTCCACCCCTTCTTCAGGTTGGTCGCTAGGTCTGGAGTATCTGGTAGAAGAACAAAACACTAGTTACTCTACAATCTGGGAAACCCGTTGTCTCCTCAGGTTATCTGCGCAAAATCATATCCATGTGGGAGTATTCGTATTGACCGACGCGTCGAACCATCCTCAACAACCCCATCCACTGAGCGTGTAAGGGTTGAGACTGCCTCAAGCTTGTTGGCATTCGAGGGCATCTAAGGCGGCATGCCGCACCCGGTCTAACTCGGGGCGGGCGCAATGTAGTAGTAAATACGGGCAAAGGGAGTGGCCGAGGAAGCGTTCGTAGGGTTCGTGCCAAGCAGCCGCCGATGTGTATCCTCTAGCGCTCTACGCGGGAACGAAAAAACACGTCTGTGGCTCCTCTGATCATTTCCTCCTCCTTTCATCTCCCCCTTTCCCCGCAGAAGAGGGGAGGAGAAAACGGAGAAAGGGAAGGGGAAAAGATTGACGCGGCGTTGCCGAGCGCGTGATGACGCGGGTAGTCTTACGGAAGGAAGTTGAGATGTAACTCTTCGAGGAAATCATCCAAAAAAATGATGCGAAATTGGTCACTGTATCTCTCCACAAAGCTCGGGTTGGTCCATGACGAGGAGATATTCCGTCTCCATGCGACGAGTTCAAGTTTCCAGCCGAAACTCAGCGCTCGACACGCATACTCGAAAAACCCAGCCGAGAATTCAGCCAGTGCCGCATCACCCGTAGCCAACACCATGGTCCCAGGGTCAGACATGTGGTCCAGTATGCTATTCATCATGTTAAGGTGGAGGTTTTCATCAACACCTTGCTCACAATTTCTAGTTTCGAAGGTGTGGGGGATCCCATCTCCTGTGGACTCATCGGTACTAGTGACACCCGCTTCATAGAAGGGGGAGCCCAAGGATCCTCGTCTCAACGCTTTCCCTCGTCGCGTCGGCCTTTGCTGTCGGGCTCTTTGTTTTTGGACACGGCTGAAGATATTCATATCATAATTCAGTTGCTCCGCCTCCAAAAAATATCCTGGCCACTTCGTGTGGCGAATGGGCGCATCTCCACTATCCGCAGAGCCGGCGAGGACTCGTTTGGTGACAGAGCGGGTGCGTTCCATGATACAGGCAAGAACTTTGAATGAGAAAAACGGTGCTCTCATCCGTCGCATCCGCGAAATCTGTCTCGAAACTCTATACGTTTCGCAAAACCCGATAAAGATATTCGATATATCCACAAAAACGTGCACATTTGCCTGTGATCCGGGTATGGATGGTGTATCTCCACTAGTATAGGTTGCCAACTTGGATTGAAAAGACATGCGCGTAGTGGAAGCCGGGGACATCCGATTTGGCGTCCGTGGCGGGTTGGTGAAAAGCGGTTGACCGGAGTGATCGCCACAACTGCACGGAATGTTGGTGGATTCACATATGTCGAGGTATGTATGATTTGTGGTCTTATCTCTCGCTCCATCAGAAGTCGACTTTTCGTTTGAACACCCTATGAGGATGCTACCCGCTATTGGAACATTTGCAGAGGCTTCGATAGAATGAAGTTCTACAGGTGCCAGGGATAATACCGGGTGGGATGCAGCTTCTGGGAAACGAGACAGGCGGTCCAAAGTATCAGCGCAAAATGACCCTTGAAGTCGGCCTAGCGACAAGGTCTCGATAGTATTAGCCAGACCATGCGCAATGGAGGGCTGCCTATAGTTATCATCCCGCCTGGAAGCCGCCAGGTTTGGCCGGCGAGCCCCCTCTTCCGACGATGCATTGGTTGGCAGGTTGCGATACGATGCTTGGGGTCTCGACATGTTCAGCTCGCAGTCGCTCAAGGTATCATAGTTATCAAAGCTCGAGAGGGGGGTTGAGGAACCATCTTGCCTATCCACAGAATCACGTCCGTTGGTATCAATAGACAAGTCACTCGCGTTGGTAGAATCGATCGGACTGGTGGAAAGTCCATGACCTGTGGCCGCTATGTACGGGCCGAGATGTCGACTGGTGGTGACGATTATATCTCTCAAGCCATCCCCAAGTCGAGGACTTGGTCTCTCCGCCACACAGGAGGCATCAGGGCTAGAACATTGCATGTCTGCCGCCCTGTTATGTGTTCGTGATTTGTGTCGTGACAGCAGATCCAAAGCCATGATAGAAAAACGAGGCCGTTTTATGTTAGGATTAGGCTGTCAAATCCGAGTAAAGGTTGGAGGTAGGAGGGTACTCTGTTGCCCGTTAGCGGGATGCTTGGCTATTTCCACGCGACCTGGGAGATTAGGCAAGCGAAGAAGATGCAAAGTAACTTATTTACCTGCTGTCATGATGGGTCTGGGGTATCGGGTATGTAACTGAATACGAACCGGTAGGCCGAGCCAGCTGTTGTAGCAGGATCAAGGTGATATAAGTGAGAGAGTTCACGATGTTCAGAGACCGGCAATTCAAAGAGCGAGTATGTGTAAGGCTTGCTGGAAGTTGATAACCGTAGGTCGCATTAGTTAGTAAGGAAGCTCGTAGGTGCTGAGATAAGCAATCATAGTTTCTAACTTATCTTAATATGTCAATGTTTTTAATAATATACAGGCTAAAGCAATAATTAGTTATAAATATAATAATATAAATATTACTTATAAAAACTATGAATTTTAAATTATTAATTAAAATAGATATTATAAAGTATATTATCTAAATATTTTTTATTATATATATATAAGTATAGTTATATTATAGTGGTACGGTAAGACATGCCCTCTTAATGCATTACATAATACGCTACAATAGGCTTTATGCCTATATAGAGTAACTATAGCTCCCATAAGTATAGACTATATTATAATTATTACCTAACTAGATTATTAACTTCATTACTTTTTTTTTTTTTTAAGATTCGTTTTTATTACTGAATTTGTCGTTTTCCGATTAATATATTTATTTTAATTACAAGCGTTTAAGTTACTTCGTTATACCGTAATATCTAAATAAATAACTTTTACGTTTTGTCCCTTTCCTCTTTTTACCTCTTTTACCTTCGGGTTAGCAGCTACTATATCTCTATAACCGAGAGATATACCTAAGGTATAATAATTATATTAAATTCCTTACCTCTCCATTAGTAAAGTAATATTTGTTTCATTTATCTTAGACTATCGTACGTACTATAGTTACTGATAAAGTATACTTTCGAGTAAGCTATCCAGGATTTTAGTATCACGTACGCTCTACTCCTTCTTAATATATAGTTACAAACATAGGCTCCCTACTATAAAACAACTAACTTATATAAAGATTATCAATATAATATATAAAGAGGCTAATAAGTTATAATTTAAACTACGTTTACTGTGATTATTTTTTGTATAGTAATATCATATATTATAACTGTCTTATACGAGTTAGTAGTACAGGGTAGCTATACTTATCTTAATGTATTAAGGAATTAAGCTCATAGTTATATAACTAATACTTTACGCACTTTTTAATCTCGCAGTTTAAGGTACTTATTAAGAGTAAACTATATACTTAACATTAATAATAAAAGACCTAAGGAAATAATTATTAAATAAGGGAAATATCTCTAGTCTTATATAGTAATCTATAGCTAGATTATTAAGGTCGTCTTTTTAATAGGCGACTGTCTTTTAGGCAGGCGACCGTGGCCCGAGCGGGCGCTTAACGCCCTCCCTTTTTAACGTCGCCCGTATAATAAGAGCTAGAATATTCCTATTCCTTAAGTAGGTATCTTCATACCTTTCCTTTTTATATCTTTTTTAATCAATATATATTAGTACCTTTTTTAATAGTAGGTTTTAATACTAACTATAATTATTAGAAACGACGGTTATTCTACTTCTTATTATACGGGCGACGATTCTTAACGGAATTAAAGCTTACCTAAAAAGAGACGACTTTTAATACTCCGACGAATTACTTAAAGAACGATAATGGCTCTAAGGACGATTAATCGCCTAAAAAGCGAAGGCCGTTCGTTATCGAAATAACCGCTTATTATATAAGTAAGGCTTATATAAAAAATAAATTATTTCCTTCATTTAATTAATCCTTTCTTAGCTTTTTAATTATTAATCTTAAGTATATAATTTACTTTTAATACGTACTTTAAATCGTAAGATTATTAAGGAGGAGCAGAGCGTACGCGATATTAGAGACCGGGATAGGTTTACTCGAAAGTATACTTTATCGAGGACTATAGTACGTACGATAGTCTAAGATAGATAAAACTAGTACCGCTATACTAATCGAGAGATAAGGAATCTAATGTAGTTATCGTATCTTAGCTATGTCCCTTAGTCGTAGAGATATAGTAGTCGCTAGCCCGAAGGTATAAGAAGTAAGAAGAGAAAAGGAATAAAACGTAAAAGTTACTTATTCGGCTATAGCGGTACGACGAAGTAACTTAAGCGCCTATAACTAAAATAAATATATTAATCGGAGAACGACGAATTTAATAATAAAAACGAATCTTTAATTAAGGTAAAAATAATAAAGATAGTAATTTAGTTAAGTAATAAATTAGATAGTAAGCATAGTATGTCCCGTACTTACGGGAGTTATGGTTATTTTATATAGGTATAAGGCCTATCGTAACGTATTACGTAATATATTAAGAGGATATGTCTTACCGTATTACTATAGCTTTCTTAATTTAATTATACCGTAAGGAATAATTAAACTAAAAAAGATAATACGGTAAGTTTCGATTAATATCTCCCTTAAAAAATTACCGCGAAACTTTATTCTACCGGTTATTATTTAATTATTACCGTCGCGTCTTTAACTTCTCGTTTAATATTATAAAGGAATCCTTTTATTATTTTACGGTTAACTAAGCCCGGTTTACCCTTACCGATCTAATTCGATCGACGTTTTCTTTCTTTATTTCGGCTACTTTTTTCTTAATCTCGTCCTAGCCCTCTTAATTAAGGGAATAGTAAGGGAACGGGCGCGTCCCGAGGATTAATTAGGTATCTTTCTTTTACCTATACGGTATGGAGGTCTCCCCCGACTAGAAAGCTTTAATCCTTTCTAAGCCGGAGGAAGGAAGAAGGCGCGTTATAACTTTAACGAGGTTATCGTAACGAAAGTCTACGTCCGTTAATACGAAGGAATAAAAGGGATTAGGTATTAAGGTTATAAAGGAACGGCGGACTTCGGCTTACGCGATAAATCGAACGGAGGATTTACGGCTAAGAGGCTTACCGATCGGCGTACTTTACGCCGAGGCTATAATATTAATAAGGTTAATTTACTTTTAATAATTTACGGCTTACCGAAGACGCTTAACGATACTTATCTTTTCTTTTAAAACCTAAACGTTATAAAATTAATTTATTACTTCGGCGTATTCTCTTATAGTATTAAGGAAATCGAGCCCCTTATTTTCTTAGGCCTAACGCGCGACCTCGATCGGTCGTTTAAAGATAAGATACGGTAAAATGCCGCTTTAAAAACCGTAGCTATAGTTATTTTATTAGTTTACTAACGCGATATAATAAGTAGATTAAGGGGTTATACCGGGCTCGAAGCTACCGTCTTTTTAAGCTCGTTATAATTAACTAAACGCGTACGCCGCCCGATCGAAGGCGCCGTTTTTAACTATATTAAAATTATATAATCTCCGAAGCTTAGGAAGGTATAGCGCTACGGCGAAGTAGGCCTAAGAAAACTTCGAGGGGTCGGTAATAACTCGTTCGGGATCTATTAGGTCCGTATAGATCGTAAAGACTAAAGTAAAAGCGGGATTATCGAGGAGGTATCGGCGGGTTAAAAAGTTAAACGATCCTACCGATCGGTAGCTTATCGTTTAATACGGGTTTACTTCGAAGGCCGCCTTTCTACCTTTAAGGTCGTAATTAATTATAGTATAAAAGGCGCGGATATCTTCGTTAATAAGGTAGTCGTAGCGGGCGAGGTATATAAAAGAGTTAACTAGGGCTACTTTCGTTTACTCTTATAACTATTAGTTTATAATTCGGGACCGATTAACGGATAGCCGGAAGGCCTAGGCTATATCGGATCCTAGCTCGATCTAGCCGTTTCCCGAATCGTAATTATCTAAAGTACTAAGTTAATACTTCTTTATATTACTTTAGTTATCCTTACTACCGTAAATCTCTCGTAAAAGTTTAATTAAGTCGGCTAAATCGGTACGACGTACGTCTTTATAAACGGAGGAAAGGAAGAAGGAAGGAGGGATTCCGGCGAAGCGGAAGGAAGATATAATAAAAATAAAAAAAAAGAATTAAGAAAAAGAAGAGAAAAGATAATAAATTAAAGGTAAAAATAAGAATTTAAATTAATAATAAGAAAGATAAGCTAGAGATTAATAAGAATATAATAATTATAGGAGGAGGGGTTTCGGAATAGGATACTTAAAAAGGAAAAAGAGAGGGAGGAAGGGAGACGTATTAACGATATGGTTAGATATACCTTTACGGCTAACGCTTTAGGAAAGCGCGTTCCCCTATATACGTATAAAGCTATAATAAGAAACGCGTTAGCTTATAACTTCTTATTATATGCTCTTAATAAAGTAATAAATACGTATATTCGTAAACTCGTAATTAAACGTAAATTAAGGTAGGTATTATCGAGACTCTCCTAAGTACGGCATTTATAACTTAAGTAACGTATTCGATTCTCTTATTCTCGTCCGACCTTCCCTCTTATTTCTCGCTATTCTACGGTTCCGATTTATTTCCTTTCTTTCTTTCCTTAAGTCCTTTATCTTCGTTTTAATTCGTTTTTCGACTTTTCTTGATTCTAGATTTATAATTTCGTCGTCCCTATCTCTCTCTTTCTTATATATATATATAATAAACCCTATTATCTAAAAGTAACTCCTTAAACTAAACCGGGCGTCCGTCCTTAAGCTATTCGAGTAGCTTAAGGCTACGGAGGTTACCGACGAAGAAATCGCCGGGGCGTTTAAGAAGGCTAAGGAGAATAAGAAAAAGGCCGTAACGTATTAACGGGTTAAGTCGATACCGTTATTCGTAAACCTAATAAATAAATAACCCGATAAATCCTTCCGCCGGTTACCTTTTACCGAGGAATTCCGGGACGTTAATCGGTTAATTCTTAAGCCTTAGTAGTATGCGTTTTGGTGGCGGTTCCTTTCGTAGCCTCGCTGCCTTAATCTTAAGGTACGCAAGACGAGTTAAAAGGTAAACCTAATGAGGAGGTACAGAGCGTACGCGATATTAGAGACCCGGATAGGTTTACTCGAAAGTATACTCTATCGAAGACTATAGTACGTACGATAGTCTAAGATAAATAAAACTAATATCGCTATATTAATCGGGAGGCAAGGAATCTAATGTAGTTATCGTATCTTAGTTATATCCCTTAGTCGTAGAGATATAGTAATCGCTAGCCCGAAGGTATAAGAGGTAAGGAAAGAAAAGAAGTAAAACGTAAAAGTTACTTATTCGGCTATAGTAGTACGACGAAGTAACTTAAGCGCCTATAATTAAAATAGATACATTAATCGGAGAACGACGAATCTAATAATAAAAACGAATCTTTAATTAAGGTAAAAATAATAAAGATA